TTTTAAGATACGAATTTTCATTAAGATGCTAAGAGAATGAACAGAGTAAATATAGGGTTCTAGGATCCTATAAGGGGAATAGGGAACAATTTTTTCCTTACACTTGTAGACCTATGCGCTGCTATATTTTAATGCAACACTATATAACGAAAATCTTGCATAGATTATTATTTTTGTAAAAAACAAATGTAACCGTTTGAAAATGTGCTACTTCACGAACCAGCAATGATTTGATTAGAATTCATTTTAAAGAATTTTGAAAATATTAAAAAATCGTACTTAGTACTGAATCAAAATGACATCTGATATTTATAAATTTAAGTAATATATAAGACTGAATAATTAATTGTTCGTTTATCACAAATTTAAATTTAAAATTTTTATAACCTTTGTGAATTTTTGTATACGTCACAAATATTGATTTTCTTCAAAATTTAGAATAAAACCATTAACATAATCTTTACAATTCTTTGACATATTCCCAAAATATTTATATACAAGTAATATGATATATATATACGTATATATAAATATTTTATTATTATACGGATAAGTATAACATAACGTGCATGAACTGTTGAATAAAAGCCCATTGAATTCTATATTCTATTTCAAGACTAGTTTTAAATACATGAAAACTTTTTTCTAAAACTGGAACTATAAATAGATTTTTGTGAATAATAATCTAAGAATTATTAAGGTATAAGACTTAATGCTGTTATACTCTAATATTGTTCTTATTAATTTAAATTAACACATGCTTCAAATAAAGTAGCGCGTGGTAAAAAAATTTGAAATAGAATAGTTATTTAAGACAAACCACAATAAATTTACATAATTTTTAAAATTTCGGAAGATTTGGTGGAATATGAAAATTTTAAATCAAGAAAATTTTCGCAGCAATAAAATAAAAATCTTAAATTTAATTTTCAATAAAATTAAAATTAGTACAAGGCCTTTTTTAAATAATGTTGATGTAATATAAGTATAAAAATTCTCCTGATGGTGGTGAAAATGTTAAAATGTAATTTTTCAAAAATATTTACATAAGGACATGAAATCGCGAATTCAACGAACCCTTTTAAATTTATAAAAATTATTTAACGCTATTAATAAAACAATAATAAGAAAAATATGCAAAAAGAAACAACACAAATTATGCATCTTTATATTTTAAATTTAGAATAAATTTAAATAAGAGAACCGGTTGTACCAAATATTTTTGCTTTAGAATTTTGTGAAAAAATTCTATAGAATATTTATTTAAAGATATTAGGAAATTGATTTTTAATTTAGTATACATTCAAAACAATACTTGGAAGATTTGTCGGCAAACTTAAAATGTTTCGTTTTCGTTTCATTCAACTCAAAATTCTATCAAAAATTTTGAGCCTTGCATTCATAAAAGAATTTTTACGAATTTTTATATATTAATCTGTTACCCTGTTTATACGGCAGCTTCAAGGGTACTCGAAGCCCATTTTATGTCCATATAAACGTTAATTCACTTGAAGTCGGTTTCACTCAATTCAATCAAAAAATTTTGCTCACATGACTTAAAATATTTATAATTACTTGAAATGTAATAGTTAAATGTCATTTTCAGACTTTCAAGCTGACATAGTATAAAAATGCGACTTGAGTTTTGAGGTGATTTCAAGCCAAATATTCAATATGCCATTTGAGCGCGGTATGTGTGGAAAAAGAAAGTAAAATTAATCTATAACCTCATAAATTGCATGATCAAACCAAAAATTTTGATTTATAAACATAATTTACGTTATTAAATTGTGTAAATATAGAGACACACACAAATTCAGTAAGATGGTTTATAAAACTTTTTATATTAGTGGAAAAAACACTTTTTTTTTGTGAAATCAGTTACTAAACCTTTTATAAAATTAGAACAGAAGAAAAAAAATTATGACATTTAATAAACAGGATTTAAAATTTTGTTCCTTTAAAAATAGAAATTGGTGAATTTTACGCAAATTGAAATTTAAACTTAAAAATTACAATTACTCCTAAAAAGTGAGTTTTTATTATCCCTGTCCTGCATCGCTATACAGGCAAAAAATTGAATTATATTAAAATCAAGGATTTATCAAACTTTATTAAGAATTTTCATTTTAAGGATCTCGGAACGGGTTCAGAAATAGTATCTAAAATTTTTTGCGCCAAAAAAGAATTGATTGGAATCATTAAGTTACGAGTACTTGTCCAAATTACAAAAGTTTTTCCTAAAAATAAAATTGTATTCTCTACATTGGATTGTTAAAATTTTATATACGTACGGTGAATATGTGCGTGTACAATAATTTCTTTGCACCTTTAATACGAAATATTTGTAACATTTCAATAAAGCAAGCAAAATCGTGCAGTTCCTTACAGTCTGATGTCTGCCGCCTTGAATCTGTTGCAACTTGGATTTACAATAGCATATGATTTATTGATTATTGCGTAAATGAAAAAACACTAAATTTTTAACAAAAAATTCAAAACCTCTGGTCAACAAATTCTTTTCATGGTCTTCTAGAATCGAGGAGTGTAAAATGCCTTAACAAGTAGGCTTTTAAGAAAATATAAAATAAGTTTAAAAAATCAATCAATTTGTATAGTTCAATTGAATTTGGGTAGTGCATATATGTAATTTTCAATAATAATAATATTTCAGAACCTTGTGGAACATACCAGAATAAGTATGTGCATGAAATTTTAAAATAAATTTTTCTACTGATTTCGCTCTTCAAAATGCATAAGCCATATAGTTAAGAAAATAAAATTTCCATCTTATATATTTCAATTTTTGAATATTTCATGTATTATGTGGTTGGTATTTTTAACTTAAGCTAAGACTACCTAATACTTTTGATTTTTGTCACTTAAAAACCAATGATTTTTTCTTCAAAATTGCAATCAATTTAGGAAAAGTATTTGTAAACTTAAATAAAAAAGTAAAACAAAAATACCTTATATGAAATGACCATGAAAAGAGTTTGACATTAATACACGTACGTGCAAGTGTTGACGTTCATGTAATACAAATTTGTATATATGTATGTGTTTATTACAAATTGTTTGAATCTTAAAAACAAAATGTTTGCAACATCTCAATAAAACAAAACTCTATATTGATATTGCATTATTTTAGATTCATCATTTATAGTAAAAGCAAGTATAATATTAAAAAATCATATTTTTTTTTCCAATATTTATTTCCAATCCGCCTGTTAATTTTTCCTTTTAAAGGAAACTAAAGCTAATCTATAAAAAGAAAATAAATAAAAACTTATCAATACAAATTTTCTAGAAATTTCAAATTATTTATGAAATTTGAAGATTTCTTAAGAAATATTGTAACAATATAATAAATACATAAGTATTAACAACATATTAAAAAAAAAAGAAAAATTTTGAAATGCAATATTATCTTGCTGATCACCAAAATTATAACTCCTTAAAACACCTACACCTAGTCTAATAATAAAAATATAATTTCATTATAACTATAATAATAAATATTCAAGCATATATAAAAAATGTAAAAAAACACTGCACACAATACACAATGGCAATAAAATATACTGTATTTGGTCCGGAATACTTTCTTTCTTCATAAGACAAAAACTCCCGTATAAAATATGGCTCAAACATGTTTGAAAGCAAAATTTCAGTTCAATTCTTAAATTCAAAAGAGTTGAAAATGAAAATCAAGAAAATTATAAAAAAATTACATTGTGGTCAATATTAAGCTTTTAAATTTTTGGAATGATTGACAAACGAAAAAAAAATTGTTTTACCAACGACTTATAGGATATAAGACTGACATGACATTTTTTTACCATAACATTTAAATTTTTGCAATTATAACAAAATTAATTTAAAAATATAGTTGATAGTAGTTCAATAGCATAAGATAACATACTCTTATTTTATAATATCGATACTAATATATCAAGCAAAATTTTAACACGGTTCAAGATAGGAAATTTAAATTGTGTGGGCAAATAACAATGAAGACTCTCCACTGTTCTACAACAAGAGTTTTACGTATCCTACTCTGTCTTTCAAATTATAAAGGTTCTTCAAAGTAATAAAATTCATATATTTATAATTTTAATATGGTCGATAATTTCAACAGAGCCTCTTTAAATTTTATCTTAAGTTCTAGAAAAGCAAGTGTTTAAACAAAATCATGGTGTTCTTCAGAAATATGCCAATGAGTAATCGAATTCGATTACGTATTGCGGTCGTACAACTTATTTTATAACTATTATTAAAATTCCCTTAAAGATATGCAACATTATATTATAGTAAAAGAACTATTTCAATATAGAACATCTTTATAATTATTGTTAAAGACTGTACAGCCGTTGTTCCAAACTAATGTGTCAAGAGCGTCTCGCAAAAGATTCCGCCGTGTAAAATACGCATCTAATTGTATATCGTACCACCATTTTTAAATGAAAATAAATAAATATGCCAAAATTTTATATAACACTATACAAATACATGTTTCAATATAATTCTGAAATAAATGCAAAATGCGATGTTTAATTGGATTTCATTTTGTATTTAAATGTTAAATGAGCGCAGCAAAATAAAATTACCAAGTGCCGCCACCTATTGCTCTGGAGTATAAACTTTTCGCAGACTCCTAAATGGTAATGATTGGAAATTTTGGCTTACAGGCGATTCGAAATTACAAACTAAAAATATTTTTTATAATACCTGTAACTATATAAAGAAAAAATTTTACCAAAATAATATTGAAAAGTACAAATGTATATGCTTATACCAGTTTAACATTACAAATCATACAAGTGTGAAATACTTAAAACAAAAAAAAAGAGCTTAAAGAAAAAAAAATTTTTTATTTTTATTTTACCTTTACTTAAATTCTCAGCGATCTTCTTTTATTGTTGTAAAAAAAAATTTATTTTAATATTTTGTACTTGTAAGCTCAATGGACCAACGAATCTTCTCTCATCGAAACAATAATGACACCAATACCAACAAAACAACGCAGTAAAGCAAAATAAAACAAAAAAAAAAGAAGAAAAAATAATTAACATTAACATTGACAACAGAACGGACAATAAACACCACTGATATTTTGCGTTGCGTTCAATACGTGAATGGAAGGGGATTTATAAAAGTTGTGACAATTTTTTTTCGAATTTATTCGGTCCTAATACCTACAACCTGTTAAAGGTTAACGTATAACAAAAAGCTAATTTAAAAAAAAAAAAAAAGATTTTGTTGACTGAAACCTTAATATTTTCGCGTATTTTTTTTCTTTGTATTTTATTTTCCTTTTGATTAATTTTCGAAAATTCATTTTGTGATTTTCTTTGTTTTTTTTTTGTTTTGGTTTTTATTTCTCACCATACCGCATTCAATTCGTGCGTTGTTTTCGAATTTTTGGAAAAAATTTTCTTTTTTCAATTTTATATTTAAGATATTGTAAAATTTTATTTTTATATACCATATAACAGTTAACGATTATAACAATTCTGTTTAGTAGAACTGAAGCGTTAACAAGGGTAACAACGAATAATTAAACTTATAGGAATAACTGAGATTAATACAATAAAAATATTGGAACAATTTTCTTTTTATTGCAAAATTCAATTTTAAAATTTTGGATATCGGCGATAATATTTTGGAATTATTTTTAAATTAATTGATTTTCCGAAATTTATTAAAAATTTTATTTAATTTTTCAGTGTAAAATTTTTATGGACTATTTTTTAATTAAAATGAGATGATAAAAAAAAATATTGAAAATAAGAAAATTATAATTAAATACAAACTTTTATTTTAATTAACGAAAATAAAAAAAAAAAATAGTGAAAATAAATAGAAAAAAATAGAAGAATTTAAAAAAAAAAATACGAAGAAAATAAAAGGGGAAAAAATAATTTTTTGTTATTTTTAAAATTTTAAAGTGCTTTGTGTTTTTGTTTGTTTTCTTTTTACTTTTTACTTTTTTTTGTTTTTTGATAAAAAGTGAAAACATTTCATAATAGTATCCAATTCATTAAACAATTTTACAACCATAAAGGTGGATAAGTTTTTGGTTTTTCTTTTCTCCTAAAGCAAAAACTCACAAAAAACGATAAACGTTTTTATTTAAACAAAATAAAAAATTCGTTTAGGATTGAAGTGATTTTTTTTTTTGAGAAACAAAAAAACAAAGACTAAATTATTAAAAAAGATCAACAACACAAAAAAATTATAATAAAAAACGAAACATAATGACTTGCCAATTTTTAATTTTGTAATATTTTTAAACTTTTGCATTTCATAAAAAAAAAACTCTTAAAATTTTTTTTCATAATTTCTAATTTAAACCGAAAAATAAATAAATTTAATAAATTTATTAAAAAGTCAAAATATAAAGAACCGGCTATAGATATATAATTAATTATTATATAGTATATAATATAATAAAAAAATATTATATAAGAAAAGACTTAACAAAAAAAAAAAACAAAATAAAAAAAATGGGTCATTTATCAACATCAGAACGTGTTGATGCAACAAAAGTTGTAAAAAATGTTTCATCAAATACAACATCAACATCAAATAATGATAATAATATAATTGTTAAAGATTATATTAAAACAAATAGTGATTTACTTGTTGATAATTGTCAAATTAATAAAACTACAACAATTGATAAAACATTAAAATCACTACAAGAACAACAGCAACAACAAAATGAAAATAATGATAATGATGATGATAATGATAATGATGAACCAATTGGATTATTTTCAGATCAAGAAAATTTCTCTACAACATCATTATTATTACAACAAAATGATCAAAATAATAATACCAATATAAAATTAGTTAATAAAAAAATATTTTTTGAAAATAATAATAATAATATTAATAATGACAATAATAATAATAATAATTTATTAATTAAAGAAAATCAAGAACAAAAATTAGAATTTACTGCTGATCATCGTAATAAAACTGATTTAAATATATATACAGAAGATTTTAAAGGTGATTCAATATTTGGTATTATTAAATTTAAAGCACCATTAAAATGGGATAAAATAATACAAATAACTGCATTACATTTGGTATTTTTCTATGGTATATATGCATATGATTATGATAATCATATATTTTATACAACAATTTGGTGTAAGTATATTATATTTATATAAAAAATTATATTTTATTATATAAAAACTAAAATTAATACTATCATTATTATCCATATTCATTACATAAGACTTTATGTATATGAAATAAATTATTTAATCATGCTATTATCTATTCACTTACAGTAAATCACGTTTAATATCAACCCTATTTAGTATCACAACTCGAGTTAATTCACAAAATTTTTGACAAGAAAAATTTCTATATATTTTTACACATTATTCAAACTTGCTAAATAGAACACTCGCTTAATAGAAATTCTATTAAAATCACGTAATTCTCAACATCAAAATGTCTAATGTCATTTAATTTAGCTCACTTAATCACAAAATTAAAATTTGACAAAAAAAAAAAATTACATCTGTCAGTGAACAGTCATCTTGTTTTATAATGTACCGTTGAAGTAGCTCTCAGTTATGATTTATAAGTGTCATTGTTTACAGTTTTTAGATCTGTTTAAATATTTGTGATTTAAAAATATTTTTAACCTTATTTCAAAGTAAATGCGTAAAAATTTTTATACACTTGCTTAATTTTAGATAATGTAAATTTATCCGAGCACCGCTTAATATCCGAGCACAATTTCCTTAAAATCACAAATTCTTTGACATTTTTCTATGTGTATTAAACGTGTTCGACTCTAATACAAATCCAAATATTGAATATTATTAAAAATTCAATAGGAATTTCATACAGATTTAATTAATATATAAATGATGAAGTAGAATACTAAAACCATCTCAAAATTTTAGGACAAATCAAAAAAAAATTATTATTTGAATTGCACTTTTTACCATTACAATTTTGAAAATTAAATTAATATTTCAATTGAAAGTTGAAAATAATTATTAGTACTCATGTAATTGTTGTACATAAAATTCGTACTTTCTAATTTATACTTTCTGCATTTAAAAATCTAGGTATTTTGGGTAACTATCACAATTATAATAACTAAATTTAAATTGAAGTTGCGAAAAGAGTTTCGGCTGTTAGACAACATTGTTGGGACCAACGGATATGCATATATAAAAGTATAATACTAGATAAACTTTAAATTAATTGTTTAAATTAATATCAGCAAATATATGATAATAAACAAAAGTTCATATTATTTAGCAGTTGCAAAATTTGCCAACTTCATAAACGATAACTGTCTGAACGGCATTGTCTTCCTTTTTGAATTCCATTTTTTTTTGACTTTTTTAAAACGTTCAAATATTTATCCAAAAAACACTCATATAGCATATATGTATTTTTACTCAAATACTCGTACCATTAAGAGTAGAGCAAACAATTGTATAAGAAACATTGGGAGAAAAAAAGCTATTTCATCTTATCTTTTCTTGTGATTTTAACAATTTGAAGCCTAAAAAATTGAAATAGTATTATGTGTATGATTTGTTGAAAACTGTAAAAACAGTTATAATATGTTACATGAATTGTCATTGTATACATGAAATTGACAATATACCGATATACTCAATTTCTGTTCTTATAAGCTGATACACTTCACTTTTTCGACAGAGAAATACATGCTTGATTTTCTAAAAAACTACCAAAGTAACACTAAGTTACGACTGTAGTTTTTAACATTAAATATAATTTTTATCGAATTTTAACATTTTAAAATTTGAATTACTATAAAAAAGGAGGTTTTATTTAAATTAGTCGGCAATTTGTTTAATTGTAATATTTAAAAGTTCTTCACTTAAATCTTTTGATTTAAATAACATTAAATTAATTCTCAAAATACTCGATGCATTTTAAATAATTTGAAAATTAATTTGAAGTATGATACTTAAACCGATTGAATGAAGCTACATATTTTATTCTCAAAAATATATTTAACATTATAAATCACAAATAAACTAGCACATACCTAAATCAACAGTCAATATTAATGGGTTATTTAATTATTGCTACAATCTTACTTCCCATCCGTCTCTTCTACCGCTTCAATATACATACATATGTGTATGTGCATACATAAATACTCTTAAATAAACAATAAACAATTATAATTTGGAAATCTTGGCAAATAAAAACAAAAACCATGTTATTTGAAAAGCCTCCTATTGAATTTAAAATTTTATGAATAATAATTTCACCTTCATTTTTTAAATCTTATTCAAATACATTGAAAAATAAAAAAGCAAATAAAAATTTCCTTTAAATTCACAAACATTTAAGATCATATACGATTATTACGGATTTTGAGTTAGATAAACCCTAAATATCAACAAATTTATCACAAAATTCAGTTAATGAAACTAATTACACAAAACATAAGTCTTAATACTTATCAATTTTATGGTATTTGACATGATCATAAAAATATAAAGAAAGGTTAAAATTAAACTGCAATAATTTTAAAGCTTTAAAAAATTTATTTATCTTAAATCAAGTGAGGTTTTTATTTATTTATGGTTTAATTTTTATTTTTCAATATGTATGTATGTACGTTTTTCGCACACTTCCATTGTGATACTAGAAAAGTAATGGCAATTTTACAACTATCATAAACACTTTTCAATGATTCTTTTTTGTTAAATTTTTGAAAATTGGTAAAATAATAAGATTTTCATCATCTTTAAAACACAATTCGCTAAAAAATACATAAGGCTTAGACTCAATAATATAAGAGAATAGGAAAATATTAAGGTTAGAATGAACGAAAATTAAACTATAAAAAAATTAAACTATGATTTATATATACAAAATATTGTGCATACAGGGTGATTGAAACTCGATGGTACTACCGAAACAAGGTTGAAACGATCAAAAAATACTAGCTCTTCTTCTTGAGTTACGTGACCTCAAAATTGACCTTTCTTTCGATATTATTCTCACAATTTTGTTTATAACTCGGTAAATATTACAAACAAAGTCGACTCACTTTAAAGCTCATAAAATTCTTCTTCCGGCGATGTATCGAGTCTCGGACACTCTATAAAATATAAAAATAAAAGCGTGATATTCTTTTTACAATTAATAAAATTTAAGCTAACATAGGAATGAATGTATATATTCAATGTTTTGCCTTGTAGGAGAATAACCTTTCAGCCTCTTGTTTTCTTTCAAGTCTTATTATATAAAATTACGCCTGTCTGTTATATTATATAGTAGATAAAACGTAATAGAATTGATGCCACAAAAATTTCTATAAACAACAGGTTAATTGCCTTGAATTCATATTTTACATTATTAAACCGTGTATTACATTGAAATACAGGCAACTGTTAAAAAAATTACCCTTCTAATTGCCCCATTCCATTTTTACATGACAATTTCTAAAAAAAAAAACAAAAACATTTAAATCAAAAAAATAAATTATTTAATTTAAATAAAAACAACCTTTGTTGTATGTACCTAATAAGTTCAAATAATTACCAAATATTTGAAAATTTTCAAAAATTAAAATGGCAATATAATTGATTTTTTTTTCGCAATATAAAATTGTAAATTTTAACCTATTTTCAAAAACATATAACCCCAAATACGATATTTTATTGCCAAAATAACCAAAAGACCAAAAATATTATTATATGTATGTATACCTTAATTTTGGGATTTCCATAAAAAAAAAAGAAAACAAAATCTTAGACCCATATGTTGATCAATTTCAATATTTTTTCGCAATATATTATGTATAACGTTTATAACATAAATATAGATAATTAAATATATTTTATATATTTTATCAAAATTTTGCATTATACAATAAAAATATAACAATAATTATCCAATTATTCAATCATCTAAAAAATATTATCTAAACTTATGATAAGTAGTGTATGTATATATGGCTGCTTGAATATACGATAAATTTCAAGGTATAAGTAGATAGGTACTTATATAGAAAAAACTTTCGATTAGCCGGCAGTTTTTTCTTTCTCTTTTTTATTAACTTTTTATTTAAAAAAAAAAGAAAAAATTTACAAATCATATTATGAGTGTATAAAATTTTAATTTTTTAATTATGTAACATGCAAATTTTTTTAAACTCTGGCCAATAAACTTTTAAAATTATACGAAATAGAAAAAAATAGAAAAAAAAATAGTTTTGATTTCCGAAATTTTTTACTTTTTTTTTTGTTTCTTTGCTTTCATTTATGCTTATTTATTATTAGATATTTCAAAAAATTGGAAATTTCCTATGAAGAAATAATTTTAATTCACTCAATTTATATCCGATCGAAGTTCAGAATATTCAAATTATATGCAAAACATTCTAAAAGAATTTCTTTGAACAAAAAAAAAAACGAAAATAAAAATAAAAAATGTTAATGTCTTTTTAAATTTTTTTCAGTTGTTTTTCTTCTCTTTCTTATGTTAGATATTATTAAACAAGTCCCCTAAATTTATTTACATATGTTTGTGTTTTATATTATTTTTATACAAAAGGTCTTTATAATAAAAATTTTAAAATATTTTGAAATAAAAAATAAATAATTCAAATGCGTTGTTCATTTTTATTCGGAGTCCATTTTGCTTAAGTCAATTTACCATGTAATTTTCAAGTTAAATAAGGAACGCAACTCTTCGCTAACACGCAACAAACGCATATGTATTTTGATTTCCTAGATTCTATATTATTCTCTCGCATTTCATTTACTCTTCAGTGTACTCACTCTCATTCACACATTAAGTTGAAAATAGAACAAGAGCGCTTTTGTCAGAATTCGTCAGATTCGACGATTTGATAGCGGAGAAATGTCAGATTTCATATAGAATGCACATATTTCAATAAGACAGTCGAGAATTAAGTGAAATTACCGACTTGAATTTTCAATAACGGAAATAACCTGAATCACTATTTTACCACTGACAGTTTTTTTTTTGACATTATCTGTTTCCATTTGCGTGTGTGACATTATACGGAAAATACTGTACATTTGCTGTTCCGTTGTTGTTCTCACCGCTCTGGTTATGTTTTCACAATTAATTTTTTGCTTGTCCTACTATTTAATAAATGTAAG